ATACCTTATACCAATCCGGCTGCTGCAACCTGTGCGGTACACCCTTTCAACAATTGCCGACTTTTCGTGGGACTTTCGTGACACTCATTTTATGATGTTAGCTTGAACTACGCTCAACAATATTATATTTCAAGCAACCATCGACAAATAAAAAAACTTACGGGATCATCTACGGCTTTTGCTAGAGCACCAGTGGCTGAGAGAACACCACGTAACTGATGGACCAGTTCCTGCAAAAACAAAAAATGTAGAAATCACGATCCAAGAATCTCACTGTATTGTAAAAATGGCAAAAAACTAGAGAGTGTTTTGCTAGAACACAGTATAAACTCCCCCAAATATGACAATAACACTGTGCGGTGTTTCTCCCGGTTAATCTCAAATGACGCAGGCCAATGTTAGCCTAATCAACAACTGCTTGTGTCATGAAGTTAAATATGAAGCTAATTATGAACGCAAAGTCAAAATCTATCGAAAAATACGACGTGGTATGGAGAAAACTCATCCTGTATTAATTCCAGAACAAATATTTTATTTCTAAAGCTAATATTCCAAAAAACTAAATCAAAAGTTAATATATATCAAAAGTTAATCAAAAGCTAATACTCCAAAAAAACTAAATCAAAATCAAAAGTTAATCAAAAGTTAATCAAAAAATAATAATCAAAAGCTAATATTTCGCTAATCCCAGAGCTAATAGCTAAAAATTCTAACATAGGCAAAAAAGCTCCAATTTATGGGGGATCATATCCGTCAGCTTATGCTAAATGGGTTTCGGATCGTCCATTCGTGACTCAGAATAACTACTATAGATGCTTTGAGCAACTCTCCTTGACCATATAAACAATCAGATTCTGCAGCAAGGCGAAAAGCATGATATTATTGCGACTGCTTGGGACAAAACATGATAAGCGGGGAACATTTCAAGTCAGAGAGTGATACCGGAGAGGAAGCTAAAAACCCCTAAACGTCTTCCGAAGAGATAGCACCGTACATGCGAATTAAAGCTACGCAGCTAAAGACCGAAGAACCAAACACTGCTGCATCTGGCGCCTGGGGAATCACTAACATCGGGTTCCTACACCGATTAAGCAAGCAGTTTCGGTGATTTTTAAAGAGAAAATGAACAATAATAAAATTTTAAAGCATTCTTTCCTTGCTGAAGGAGCCTAAGAAGCTTACAGTTTCACGAATCATGTCTAAAATCCTAAAGCAATATGAAATTCGTACCTGCACGCCGCGTTCGAAATAGGTAGGTCGCATTCCCGATACGGGTTTCACCAATGTTTCCAGCACTTTTAGCCCATGCTCAAAACGATTTCCATTAGCAAGGGGAACTTTTCTCCCCAGTAACCTGGAACTCAAATATTCAAAGTCAAAATCGAAAATTATAGTTATTATCCACTCCCGAGGGAGGAACAAACAGCGGAAGTAGCTCGAGTGGTAGCAAATGCCAACAGCAACTACATGATGATGAAAACTGCAGCGAACTTGATGGATGAGCATTTTCGATTCCAAATAGGGATAAATTTAAGATTATTGATAAATAAAATTCAAAGACTTAATCTGTCAAATTCTTAAACAATTTACCGCTATTCAGATAAGACCTTTCAGGTAAAGCTGAGAGCTCACAGATTTACCTTCTCAACTTTACCTTACTGGCTCTCAGTAAAAAATCATAAATCCTATCCCGTATTGTTCTTTTAGGTAAA